ACTTCAAAACAACATGATGCAAATATGCATGGCCATCTATGTCATGAGTTTGCATTGTAGATAAAAAGAATGCAACATTTGGTTGACTAATCAATTGAAGCTAATTAATGGAATAACATTGAATTTGGCATTGAACCAGCAGACTTTGTTGTCATTGAACAAAATTATTTTTCACGCCACCTAAACATGGCATGGGGCAAGTGGCATCTTAAAAGAAGGACTCTGGCTCTCACCAGGAGGGAGAGCTTCTCCTTAGAAAAGCTCTGCCATAATGTCTGTAGCAGCTAATAAGGCAGAAGCCTTAAGGCAACCTGCTGTCCTCCAGATGTTTGGGCATATTAAATATCAGGTAAGGGATTATGGGAGTTCTAGTGCAAGATATCTAAAGGTCACATTGTTGCCTACCTCTGTAATAAAGTATGGCTTTTGCTTGGTTTTATTGTTCTTAGACAATAAGAACATTGTCTTCATGACAAGGCTTTGTGATGGCTAGATGGAGGGGATGCAGTGGATGTGGTTTACTTGGATTTCAGCAAGGCCTTTGACAAAGTGCCCCATGATATCCTGGTGGAGAAACTGAGGAGTTTTGGGATACACCAAAGCACTGTCCGGTGGATTAGGGCATGGTTGACTGACCGAAGGCAGAGGGTAACCATTAGTGGGGAATCGTCAGGATAGCAGCCAGTGACAAGCAGGATCTCCCAGGGCTCTGTCCTGGGGCCGATCCTGTTTAATCTTTTCATCAATGACACGGAAGAAAGGGTGAACAGTCTGCTGATCAAATTCACAGACGATACTAAAACTGGGGCAGTGGCCACAACTGAGGAGCAGGTACTCCAGATCCAAAAGGATCTGGACAGACTATGGAAGTGGGCAGGAGACAACAGGATGGCGTTCAATGTGGATAAGTGCAAGGTCTTGCACTTGGGGCATAGGAATAGCTGTCATAAGTACAGGTTAGGGGACAAGTGGCTGAAGAGCAGCACTTGTGAAAGGGACCTCAGGGCACTTTTTAACTGAAGGCTAAACATGAATCAGCAGTGTGATGTGGTGGTCAAGAGGGTGAACGCCACGCTTGGTTGCATAGCCAGAAATGCGGCTTCTAGATTGAGAGAGGTATTACTACCATTCTATATGACTCTGGTGTGCCCGCAACTGGAGTATTGTGCCCAGTTTTGGGCCCCTAATTACAGAAAGGATATAGCCAGGTTAGAGTCAGTGCAGTGTAGGGCCACAAGGTTGGTGCCCGGTTTGCAGGGGATGGGGTATGAGGCAAGAATGAGGGAACTGGGTCTCTTCAGCCTGGAAAAGAGGAGACTCAGAGGGGATCTGTTGGCGACATACAGGTATGTGAGGGGATGTCACATGGAGATGGGTATAGACCTGTTCTCCCCTGCAGAGGAAGGCAGGACGCTCTCCAACAGAGCAAAGCTCAGGGAGCCAAGGGGCCATTTAGATGCCAGGAAGCATTTCCTGACAGTTAGGACCCTGAGGGTGTGGAATGGGCTTCCAGGGGAGGTGGTTGAGGCCCCATCGGTGAGGGTGTTCAAAGATAGGCTGGACATGCACATGGTGGGCATGTCGTGAGCGGAGCCGGCTGGAGCCGGAGGTCAGACTAGATGGCCCGGGAGACCCCTTCTGACTCGCTCCATTTCTATGTTTCTAGACACATGCACAAGCATACAACATTTACTTGAATAGTTAAATAATTATTCAGCTGAATGTCCTGGGACTGATGCACTTAGAAAAGATAAGACCATCCATGGCTACTAGTCATGTTTGTTCTATATTACTTTCTGCATTGGGGCAGGATGACCTGCTTATGGGCTTTACACAAAAACTTGCATTTGCTGAAGAGTGGGTGGGGTGATTTACAAAAGTCAGTGAATGTCACAGGCATCTCTAGTGTGTAGCCTGTCCACTGTAACTTTATTATTGATTCAAAGACAAGTTCTAAATGCCTCAGGTCAGCTAGTAGACTTGACTAGTGATGGTCTCTGGACTCCAGGTAGTTTTTGAGGTTTATGTGGGTTCATTCCAGTTTGGAATCTGATCTAGATTTGGGCTGGAAGCTGTCTTGGTCAGCCTACTTACATGATTCTTCTGGATCGTTCATCAGGGTTTGACACCATTGGTCATTGTATTATTCTGTCCCAACAGTTTAGCCTTAACTTTAAAGACATGGTGTTGCAGTGAGCATGACTCTTCCTCAGTAGTTGGTACCAGAAAGGAGTGCTGGATGACCCTGTTTCACTTCATTGCCATTGTGCCACTGGGCTCTATTTTATCCCTCTGCTCTTCAAGATCCATAGGAAGCTTCTGGAGATGCCATCGAGAGGTCTGGGATCTGATGTCACCCATGCGCTGATGACACACAGCTCTGCCACTCTTTTCCAACTAAGAATCTAAGCAGAAACAGGGGCCTCTTTCTGTTGCCTCAAAAAGTCTAGTTCAGTTCAGTTGCATGATGTTTAAGCTTGCGGTCTTAACTCAAACAACAATGACTTTATTTATAGTGGAATTCTAACTACAGATTAATTTTACAAACTCCCTTCCCCATTTTTCTGCCACATGAACACTTTTGGATGAAATTTCCATCCTTGGAAACATATATATTTGCAGTGGGACAAGACCGTGGCTGAGGAGAGAGTTACAGCCTTTATACCCCTAAAATCCAATATTTCATAAAAACCTGGCACTGAGAAGCTAGTACTGCTGTTATTTCCTATGATGCATGAGACCTCTCTTTCTTTTCCCCATAAGTTAATAGTACACAGGAAATCCAAAAGGGAAAATAGAAATAGAGTGATCTCGAATTGTAAAATTAAGAATGGGAAACTATTGAGATGTTGCAGTATAGTGTATACACCAGTAAGTCATTAACATAGGAACAACATTTCTGCTAAAGCAATTATAATCAACAATTTGTCATCCAAATGTACCATGAAAAATACAGGGATGAGATTAAAGCACAAACATAAAGTAAATGTTCAACTGAATTGATTTTAGAACTGTGTGTCTTATTGCTTGCATATGCAGTCTACTTAATAACTTGCCTAGAAAGGACAAAGCCTTATTGCACTGCATAGCATTTATTCTTTGCCAGAGGTCACCGTATGCAAGCCAGACAGCAATATGGGTGATATATTATACATGACAAGCCTGAATGTTGCTACACGTAGAGATTCCAATTCTCAATGTCCTCTGAGAATTGTTCAATATCCTTGATGGTATCTTATTTCTGGAATTTGGAGGAGAGGGCATCTTTGACGTTCTTACTAATCAGTCAAGGATAACATGACATTCATGCAGGTTTTTGATCATTCCACTTCTGCTGGATCACATTGGAAGAAGCATGAGATGCTTTGGCATTTTAAAGATCAATTTATTTCTTAACTATCATTTAACTTAACTTGGAAAATGTAAACATTTTGTCCTTGTCTGATCTGCCAATTCTAATTTTTAAAACAACAATAATGTATCAAAATAACAAAATGTTTCGAGTATGTTAATTGTTGAGATAGCCTGCCTCTGGCTCAGGGACCTCATTCATCAACTCTGCCTCAACCTCCTTTGGTCCCATAGATGGCCCAAAAATTAAAATTGGCCTGGATTCAAAGAACTGTGCCTGTAAATCTGTGCACCCAAGGGATCACTGAGCATGTTTCCCCCCAAATCCTGGAATGAAGATTGAGAGATATGTAGAGCTAAAGGGGCCACACATGAAGATGTGAGAGAAAAGTGTTTATTTCACATTGCTGTGTGGACTTATCAAATTCACACTTCCTAGACCTGAGCATGAACCAGAACAGGCTGATGTATATATATAAACAATCACATAGTAGAACCTTTCTGGTTTTCGATATTCTGATACCAGCTTTTTATCAGAGTCCCTTAAAACTGAGATCAGATAACTATTTTCATTGGCAACAAATGAATCTTAAAGAAGATAAGCTTTAAGTTCAAGTTCAGAACATGTGCCATTTTCTATTAATGTCATGAAGTATTGGAATAAGAATACTATATTAGTTTTTATTGAAAATGTTAGTCTGCAATCCTGTGTATCCTTTTATCTGCAAGCGAAGTCTATTAAATTTCTGCATAGACAAGTATGGGATGTGATGTCAGAGATGCACATACATACTCAGGAATTTCTTAGCCACTTGCATGGGATGACAGTAAATGTACTAATAGGAAATTGATAGGAAATTAACAACTAGCACAGAAATTAACAACTAAGCACCCCACCTCACTTTCACAGCCCCATTGAGTGGCCTCAGAAAGTAATTTTCAGGGGGTGGGAATGAATTTTGGAAAGTGAGAGAGCTGGTTCTCACCAGTTCTCTGCCAGTCGGATGCCCATGGTAGCCATGATCTTGTTTGTTCCCCTCCAACCCAGCTTGCCCCTTTGAGGTGCCTGTGTAAGTGAGTCCTACTGTTCCACTAATGACATGGATAAACAGAATGAAAGAAAAACACAAATCCCTGGCATTTAAATGTCAATCTAAGCAATCTCAAATCATGCACAGCCTGCGCTCATTAACCTTGGTGCGTGTGTATGCGTGTGTGCGTGTGCATTTGTTTTCCCATACCCACACACTCAGACAACTGCTCTTTTGTGAGAGCTGGCCTACATTTCCTCCTCCCAACCATTCCATGTTTGTCATTTCTGCACTTTACATCCCATAACTTTAAAGCATATAGGTGGATTAGTGCAACCGTGCACACAAGGTTGTTGATACCGGATAACGACTGTAAAAGGAAATAATCATTTGTAGGAGATCAGTGTCTTGTGAAGTCACTGCAAGAAAGATAACCTTTTGAGATCTACTTGCAAAGGTTCTTCAAGTAGGAATAGAGTCTAATCTAAAGAAACATAGACATTACATTGAACTTGGTTGTAGTACTGTGTAGTAAGCTGCCTGCTATTCTTTCATAGATTACTACTTTGTATATTGGGCTCTCATTGCATTGTTTCTTTCTTCTTCCTTTCTCAACAGGACAATATTTTTAAGTTGGAAGATTCACATTTTGAAAATGGTAGAGGGAAAAGTCCCTATGACCCCAAGCTGCTAACTGCTTCTCTTTTAATAGGTATGTAGTGTTATGTAAAATGAATTTGTGGTGGAGGGTTTTATCTATAGTTACCTGCCTCTTTCCTTTCATGATAGTTATCTGAGTTCCTGTTTCCTTATTTTAAAACCTGCCTGGAAAGCATTGAAATGTCCTTATATTTAACTGAATCTCTTGGCAAGTTAAGACAGGCTTAAATCTGCACAGCAATAACTATCCATAATTTTTGTTGATGGATGTACAAGCTGGGAATTTCCCATCATTACAAGGATGACGGCATTAAACTTTGGATTTGAATTTCTGGAGAAGTGCAGTGATGCAAGACTCCAAGACTTTTAAGCTTGACTCAATGCATGAAGGACAGGAAATGTGTGAAAGACTCATTTTGGCATTGTGAATAAAGGTTTTATTAAGGGAACTGAATCTTAAGATTGAATCCAATATTTCTAAAATTGCTGTAGGTTCTGTCTTTGTAACTGTGCCTAGAACTATATGATATGAGGCCAAGTTATATTTCTAAATGCAATTTCACATCTTTTCCACTATATTAGGATCAGGACTGGGTGATTTGCTGGTGAAAGGAAAAGGTGACAGGAAGAGTACTTAAACCTCCCCTTTAATGCTACTATTCCTCTGCAATCCCACCTTCAGCTACTCTTCACACTCCCTCCTCAAACTGCCATTGAGGACCCTTTACAGTAGAGGTTGGAGTTGGAAAATCAAAGGATGTTCTGGTTTGAAAATCAGCCTGGCCATATAACTTGTAATTTCAGTGTAAGGAATATCATCATCTTTCCTAAAAAAAAAATGGAGCAAAGCAACATACAAACATATTAAATTCAAAGTGTACACATTTTAAATACCCGGAGGCTAAAACAGTAAGAGCAATGCCAGCAAATAACAAATGCACCTATTAGTGCCAAAACACCCTGACAAAGATGTCTTCATTAGCCAGGAGAAGATACTTTAGGAAGTGTTACAGTGGAATTCCCTTAGGAAGTCATCCCACAAATTGCTGAGTTTCCCTGAAAAGGCTGCATCCTTCACCCTTGCAGAACTGACTTCCTTCACACATTGATATGACATGGAGCAGAAGCTCTGCAGAAGACTGTCCAATTCACTGGTCCTTCGATATAAGTTTCACAGAATTCTACTTCACACAAGGATCCTACGCATGCAGAGCAGACTCCTTCCATCCCAATAGATGGTGTGGGGATGCCATGAATAGGAACATGATAGTGGGAACTGGAGCCCTGCTGTTCCCCTCACACAGTTGTAATGGTTATCAGAACTTATTTTTGAACTGATTATAGAACAGTGTGTTGCATTTTAGGCCCAAGGGCCAGTCTGGCCCAGCGAGGTCCCAATCCAGACTTCTACATTTCCCCAGATAGCCATCCCCCTTCCCCTTCCCCTTGCCTTACCCCCTTTCCCTATTGACCAATCATTTGATGGTTTCCCAGCTCAGGTGCTCTTCCATCCCCATTTTGTGATGTTGAACTGCCTCTGCTAAGGCTTCATTGCTAGCGGTAAGAGCTCGGAACTAACATATGAAGAATTCAGTTTGGCCCTTGGGTGGAAGGAGGCTCAAAATAAGTTCTATAATTCCTGTTACAACACCTTCTAGGCCATGGGTACATATTCATTGGAGTCCTTGGCTCTGTTTCTTGGCTCTGTTGTGAAGACTTTGATCATGCCCAAGGCAAAAACAATTGACTGTAGTAAAGCAATAACAAAATTAACTTTTGTTCATACACAGTGCCAATCACTAAGACATGATGATGGCACAGGAATTCAGTAAGCGAATAATAGGTTGATGGTGAGATTGAGCTCCAGCCATTCCTCAAGCAATAAAAGGCATTTCAGAAAGCTTTTCTCTTCTGTAGCCATTGAGGAAAGGAAAGAAGTTTTGTCCAACCTTCATACTTATGAAGGGAGTGTGAAAAAATAGACTGCCTTGCTATCCTACATCCGGCAGTTCCACCTATTAGTGATAGTCACTCAGAGTCATTTGTATTTGTAACACAGCTGTATACATTGCTGCTATAACTTGCATCCTACTTTTTAAAAAGTATATTTATTCAAAACAAAAGGGAGAAAAAACTCTATCTGAGAAGGCTGGTGGTGTATAAAGAAATTTTGTTTTACCTCTGGGACTGGCTTTTTGCTTTAATATTCAAACAAGAATAAGTATGATGGCAGGTCAGTCAGTATCATACAAAAACTATGGCATGTAGTCACCAAGTCAAGAGTCCAGCTTTGCATGCGACTTTCTCGTGTAGCTTACATTAACATAATGCTTTCTTTCCTCGGCTTGGCTTTTAGCTTATTGGGGGATTTTTAATCTTCTTTAATGGAAGACAAAGAGGAATTGGAAGCATGTTATTAAGGGAAAGAGACCAAGAAAGGAAACAGAACTGCTATTTTGGGGGTGGGGTTGAGCACCGTGGCTAACTCCTATGAAGCTCAAAAGAAAAGCTGTAATGGACGACAAGGCCCTCTGATGTAGGGGTCATCCTTCTCCTTTGAAGTTCTCCTACATTTACTGAAGCCAATGAAGTTCGGCTAAACTGCTGTGCTTCAGGTCTTTCTCTTGGCCTAGGTCACTTCATGTGCTAACAATGTAATCCTGTGTGTAACTTTAGATCCACTGTAGTGCAGTGGTTAAAAGTGTAGAACTTAGGAGATCCAAGTTCGAGTCCCCATTCCACCATGGAATTAACTGGGGGACTTTGGTTCAGTCACAAACACAGGGTTGTTGTTTGAAGATAAGATTGAGAGGAAGAGGAGAATTATGTAAGCCACCTTGGAAGGAAAAAGTGGGGTATAAATGAAAAACAAGCAAACAACAAATGATTTTTGATACAGCTTCAGTTGCAGCCATAAACATTCTCTTGCAGACTCGACTTGGAGCAAAATAAGACATTACATTTAAATGCACAGCATGTAGCTGAAGGTTAGTTTTTTGTTTATGATCTAGATTAGAACCACCATGCCTTGAGGTGGGAGAATTAAGCCTTCCTCCCACCATTTCCCCATAAAGCTCTCTTTTGGTGGAGGTGAGGGATAAAACTGTCTCCAGCTGCATCAGTCAGTGGCAGTTTTATTATTTTTTTAACCTGCCCCTGCAGGTGTGTGAATTTTGGGCAAAGAGGGAGAGTGAATCCTTCAGTTCCTGTGTCCCCTGGTCCTGATCCAAATGAGAGTCATGCATGTTGACACTAGAGTGAATTAATACACAACCCTCAGCTATGTGCAGTGCAAGGAGCTACCAGCAATGAAAGACCTTGAAGAAGCAGGGAAATTACACAAATATCAAGAAGTATATTGTCTTCTTGTCAGCAAACAATGAGAAGCTGATGAATGTTTTCAGTGGTCCACTGAAAGAGCATACTCTTAGCCTGTGGATGGATTGTGCATGAACAGCACAAAAAAAGATGTCAGGTGTATCACTGCCAGATGTGCAGCAGCTGCAGTGACAGCAGCAACCACAGCTGTGGTACCCCAAGTGCCCACTATTGATGGCCAAGCTCTCTTCAGCTTGACTCAGAACTGCATCAATGATTAGAGGCACTGCTGGAAAATATGGGAGAGGGTGACTGATTTGGTCTGGGGTGCTAAACTGTCACACGATATGGGCTGTTGTTCTTCATCTTCGTATCTTTTTTGAGTGGCATCTTTGCTTTCAGTTTAAATCCTAGACACAAATCCAAGGCTAAGCCAAAGGGAGTAGTAGGCAAGCTCTGTAACCTTAGGAAGAAGAGTCGTGAATACCTCTACTTGTCTGGCCAAGTGTCTCCAGCTCAGTTTATCTGCAGCTAATGCAAGTCCTTTTATTTATTCATTTAAAACTTTTCTAGACTGTACCATTAGTTTTGGGACAGTTTAATAATCTCTTTTACATCTCTCTCTGCTCCACCTGTCCACTCATAGTGAGGTAACATTTTGTCACACACTCTCCTTTAAAATGCATGGAAGCTGAACAAGGACCTGCAGACCTCCCCGACATTTTGATGGGGCTTGAACAAAGTCCTAAACAAATTACAGTGTGCATCCCTATCCATATGGATTAATGCATAATCTCCATTACCTTACAAAAGCAGCATGTAAAACTACACCACCTCTACTCACTTTTCATAGCCCTTCAAACAGACTAAGGTAGTGGCTCTGAACTGGGTAACCTTTAAGGCTTCACCAGAACCTGCAATCATACACACGTGCAAAGTGGCTGCACTTTGAACTGCCCCTGAATAATGACTGGTGGCTAAGTGGTGCCTCAGAGCTACTCAGATCTCATCCACAGTTGTCATTTTGCTTAACACTCCAGGGTATGAGTTACTCTGTATGAACAGCTCATTGGAAATAATATAATCCACTTGCAAGTGAACTAACGAAACATCATTTGGAGAAGAGGAGTAAACCAATTTAAGTTACCTAGTGTTTTTTTTAAATCAGCAAAACTAATAGAAAAAAGAAAACAGTAGTATGCTTATTTTGCATATCTAAAAGGTTTGCAGTAGCCAGCCAAAACTGTACTCTTCTTACCAGTGTTCATGTTCAATTGAGTTCTGAATTTGCATTTTGGTACCCAATACTGGGCATGCAAGAGAGATTAGGGCTTCTCTTGGTTTCAGCCTACTGCTGCTTCTGTTTGAAGGACTGTCCTGTCCAATGGCAGTTTGATGATAACCACTAGAACTGCTGCCAATCCACATTTAGCACCAGATCAGCAGACTGAACAGGCAGATTCACCAGATCTCTATCTTCCACACAACAGCAAGATACACTGCACTTTTAATAGAGCTGGAATAATTCCTAACTTAGCATCTATACATATCAGCTGTTGCTTTTCTTCTTGTTTTATGATGCATGTCTTCTTTTGGGGCTGTTATAATCACTCTTTCCGTTGGCTGAGAAAAATATTTCAGGCATGCAGAGAGTTCTTTTTAAAACTTTATTGCAATGAAGGGAACAGAAAGGAATGGTTTCCTTCCCATTCTTCTGCTCACCTGAGCACATGCTCGCACCCCCCCCCTTTTGAACCCTGCTCCCGGCCGCTTGTTCCCTCCTCCTTTCCCCTAATTGGCTAATAGGGTACTGAGAGGTTACAATCTTTCCGCCCGCCTACTCCGTGCTGCCCTAACACCTGCCCTTCTTCCCAATCCAGCCCTGCCCCTGGTGGGCTACAATAGGCTCATTTTGTTCTGCCCAGCTTGTCAATGAACAATCAGGAAGTATTTGGCCCTCCTGCCTATGTGCCTGTTTCCCCATACCTTGTGCTATCTGATTTTGGCCCCTCCCCTCCTTTGGGCTAAGTAATTTTCTTTGTTACCTTTTTAAATCTCCTTACTCTCTTGTTTCAAATCATCCTTTCACACCTGTCAGGGCTAGATCACTTCAAAGAAGATGCTGAGTTCTCATATTATGTGCAGGCCTCCCAGAATGGTTGCACCAGTGACTGTAGGGAAAATTGTCATCCTTTCTGTTCTCAGAAACATGCATGCATCCCCTTCCTTCAGTGCCCCCCCCCCCCCCCCCCTGTAGCTAAGAACATATGAGAACATTGTCACACGATCAATCAGGTCCCATGCACATCTTTGAATGCAAGTGCAAGCAGAGCTTGCATTCAAAGATTGTATAAATTTTAAAGAAAAAGCAACTCAAAAATGAGCACTTTTAAAAACAAGCCCAACTTCACGCGTTAGTATGTGTGCTCATTTTGCAATTTTCCCATGTCTTGTATTTGTGCAACCTTCCTTCACGCAAGTCAAACAATGCTTGCAAGGGATTTGAGAAACTGAAGCAGGGGCAAGTATCAAACTGTTGCTCAGAATATCCGGGTGAATGTGGACCTCGCTTCTTCATCCACCTCCATATGTTTGTGGCCTTCCCACAGGTATCTGATTGACCCCAGAGTGAAAAGAATGCTGGACTAGGCCTCTCCTCTGATTCGTGGCAAGGCTCTTTTTATGGTTTTGTGGTAGTTGCAATGCTTACCTTCAATGAATCTGCTGAGGAAAAACGGGGGTGGGGGGGAGATGTTTCTCTATGCACAGGGGATGGACCCTTCACACATACCACAACCACGCAGTAATGGTAGGCATTTGATAGATCAAACAATAGTCAAAAAGCCCATTTTTAAATGCTGTTAAAAACTCAGTTTAGTTGCTGGAATCTCTTTTTTCTGAATGACCTTTTCTTCTCATTTCATTACTATGAAATAAAAGCAGGCTTCTTGCCTTTCCTCTGATTTATATTGATTTATCCCAAGTCTCTGGAGAGAGGCTGACAAGCAAATGGGGGTAAAGTTAAGTAAAGGCTAACAGAGGCATCAAAGGCATTTTCTCAAGCACAGTGAGTAATAAGGGCTATAATTAAGTGATTGTCTCTCCTTTTAAAAATAGCAAGTGGCAGATGAGACAGAAAAATGATAAATAGCTAATTAATGTGCTGTTCTCTTAACTCGATTTTGATTATACCTCCTGCTGGGCAGAAGAGGTCTAGTTGCTTTTAATCTCCTCCTCATTCCACATATTTCCACTATCATGTTTTCTCCCTCCCTGACTTTTATGATACATAGATCTTGCAGATCCAACTGAAAAATAATATGTTTTAGCCTTTCAAGGGAAAGCAGCTCAACTTTCCCAGCAGGAATGATCGGACATGGTTGCCCTGCCATGGAAATGTCTTCTAAAATTGGCATGGAATATATGAGCATGCCTTGGAACTAATGAGCTTGTTTCCAACACAGTCATATTAAATTCTGTCTAGAGCATTCACTATGACCATAACAAATTGAATACCTGAACTATAATAACCCATCAATTCATTTTGTAATTTATGCTTTGAAAAGCAAAGATCTGTATTCAATATTCCACGAGCTTCCTAATGCAGAAATAAAAGTTTCTGGCAAGTACATGCATGGCATGATTGTTGCATGTGCTTGACAGGAGACATAGCAGAAGAAGCATGCTCAATCAAGCACCAAAAGGTTCGACCAGATGACCAGGTGGACCACTAGCCCATGCCAGCTTTTTGTACTGATCAGCAAAACTCAGGCTTCTCAAGGTTCTTCAGACTGACCTCAAAATTTGTTCCAATTCATGTCCATATTGTTGGAGTATAGACGAGAAGATGTCAACTCTGTGGGAAGGTTTTTCAGACTGATTGCTCATTGAAGGGTTGAAGCAAACTTGGACAAGTGGGAAACCATGCTTCTCTATGTAGTCAGGAGACAGAATTCATTGGCATGAACCACTTGATTGTATCAGGGGAGGGAATTATGGAGCTTGCCTAGCACCAAGTTAATTTCTATACTTGTTCTCTATACAATTTTAATTAAGACTTGCTTGGTTTAGCAAAGGAATTGTCCTGTTGTTTTCCTTTTCTATCAGTATACATTTAAGAAACTTTACTTAGAGAATCTGTAACCATCACACTTTAGTACCTGAGAAATCATATATTACTGCTGTTTACCTGAAGCATCTAGTTCTTAAGCACATGAAGAAACCCAGAGAGAGATGCATATGAAGCCTGGTTTCATACCACTTGACCCCACTCCCCGTTGCATGTTGTTACCTACAATGGCTTGCCATGTCATGCCAAGCCAGACTGATTCCTGCAGAATAGTTTGTTTGAGGGCAACAAACTATTCCAATACCCCATGAACTATCCATGATTGGTTGTCCTTTGCTGGAACCCAGGCCACTGATCCCATTGTGGCTGCCAGGAACCTGCTTGCTGGCAGAGCTTCTTGCTAGCAGAGCAACAAAGACCCCTTGCTATTTTGGGCAAGCTCACCACTGCCAGCCATGTCACTGGTGGCATTTCAAGGCCATTGGCACCGACTGGGCTTCTCCCACCAGGATGGCAAATTGCATTCAACTTGCCACAGCATTTTTGCCCCTTTCTTGTTTCCTGACCTCACTAAATCTGGTTCAATAACTGACTTTCACAATCTTCAATTTGACTCTCACTGACAGATCCTTCAAAGTGCCCTATTAGTACCTTGGAAGGGGCATATGCAGCCAACTTTATTTTTAATTGCACTCTTAATGTGTGCAGTGTTTTGTGTTTTTAATGTTTTTAGCCACATGTGCAACTGCTAGAAGTGTAATTGCATGAGTGTGAAAATTGGGATTCTTGGTGGGTTGGGCACATAATGTTGGTGGTTACTGCTGTCACAGTGCAGCAAGAGCCAACCCTGGACATTGATCCAAAACGGATACAAGCACACTTTCTCTTCTCTTTGCTTTCTCTTTTTCTCTTGAGACTCCAGCTGTTTGGAAAAGTGCAAAAGTGTGCCCCACCACTTTTTCTAGGGAATCAGACATAAAATCCCCATTGCCCTATCAAAACCCTATTTTAAAGGGAACCCAGTGTTAGCTGTCAAAATTTCATTTCCCCAGAAAAGTGGGATGCACTTTTGCAGTTTCCCAGGCAACTAGTTTCCCATGTCCCGAGTAAAACTGCAGAAGGGAATTTCAGTAGGTATGTGTTGTTATATTAGGGGGAAAATCTTTTTCTCCTACAACTAGGAAAGATAAAGCGGCCCAGTCTTCTAATGTAAAGGGTCATCCAGTTACCACACAGAATAATTATGTTTGCTTTGTGGGAAACAGACTAAAATCTGTACACATGCCTGCTCTGTTTTGCTTAGCTTGTGTATTTGTTAATAAACGGATGTCACAAATATGTCTGCAGTGCTGCGTCCTCGTGTGGAAGAGGCTGTAAAAGGCTGTCCCTGCAATGAAGATGAGGACCATCCAAGCTCCCAAAAATATATTCAGCTGCAGAACAGATTTTAGCCTGTGCAAATACCTTTCAGTGGGAAATGTCCATCACACATTGGCATTATGAGTTCCGTTGCTGCTTCATAATAAATCATTGCGGTGGGTTCACTCATTCACTGACTCATACTAATGCAATTTGATGCAGATGGTGAACTTTACTCTGGAACTGCGGCAGATTTCATGGGCAGAGATTTTGCCATTTTCCGTACACTGGGGCACCACCACCCAATCAGGACAGAGCAGCATGATTCTCGATGGCTTAATGGTAAGTCAGGCATACCCACCTCTATGTGTTTCATATTTTTAGCAATAGTTAACGAAGCTTAGCATGAAATGCAATTTTCCTTTCAGCACCACCTGTGATGTTTACCTCCTTCCCAACTGTTCAGTACCATCTTGGTGCACAATATTGCCACAAACAAATAAAAGTAACCAGTACTGATTAAATATAAAGTTTGTTTTTAATTATGTTGTTTTTTGCAAGAAGCTTTGCTTTAATACAGGAATGGCCAACATCTGTATTCTGGTGGCTCCTCTATTTTGTGACTAGTGCTTCGATAGCCTGAGGTACCAAGTGATTTCCCCGGTTTCTGTTGAGGCTCTATAATAAAATGGGAGAATCTAGTGCTAAGAACTTCCGGTTGTGGTTTACATGTCAGTATCTGTACTCTAATGTGAGCCCAATTCTTCAAGCAGTGAAAAATTCCAGAGAGGCATTTACCTGGTGACTTCTGGAATTTTGCAGTATTTCTATGTATTTAGAAATATTCATGTAAGCATGGATGGAGGAGTATGATTTAGCATTTCAACAGACACTCAACATCTGTTATGCCCATATTGGTTTTCCAGGGGAGTGGAAGCACCTTACAATGCTTATAAAACATAAAGCACCTTACAAAGCTTAGCTTTCTGACCCTTCCATCCTTAGTCTGACTATAAACTCTCTTGCTCTTTCACTCATGGCCTGATGATATCATTCCCAGCCATAAGATGGAGAAGCGGGGAGGGCTAATTGTCCATGTGCGACTGCAGTAGTGGACTGGATGGACCACTGGTCTGATCCAGCATGGCTTTTCTCATGTTCTTATGTTGTTAAGGCACTGGGCCACTTTGAATATTCCAAGTCCAAGGCTCTGACTATGTACTCCTAGGGATGTTGAGAAATGCATTTGGGGTTGGAAATCCATCGGATTCCCTGGGCTCAGCTCCCTGGACTCCAGTTCTCTTTGCAGCATCCCTGAAGCCAAGTTCCTGGAGAGCTGCCCAGTGTTTACAAGGTGCTCTCCAGAAAGCGAAGCCCAATGCCCTGTGCAAGCAGTTTTCCTCTTCCATGCCATCTGTAGCAGCCCAGATGACTGCTGCACATGGTGTGGAAGATGAACACTGCTAGCGGTCATGTGAGGTTTGCCAGGAATGGAGCCCAGTGTAACTGCTAGCAGTGTTCTTTTTCCACATGACATACAGCAGCAATTTGGAAGGAAATTGGTTGCATGGGACTCACCAGGAACAGAGCCCTGTGTGACTACTAGCAGCAACCCTCCTCGGCATCACCTTTCCCCTGGTTTGGCTCACTTTGCAAGACTGGGCCAAGCATGAGAGGAAGTCTGGGAATAACTAGAGGGACAGGTTCCTCCACGGTTCATCCCAACCCTATGTATGCTTTAGGCCATCCACTTGGACAAGCACAGCAAAGTTCTTGCCAAGCTCTCCTGGGTGACTGCCAGTGCCAGCCACCTTACAAATACTAGAATGCACATTCACAGAAATCTCTAAGTCAAAAATCACTGAGTTGGAAGAAGCCCTGAGAAGCCATCTGGACTAACCTCCGAGCCTATAACTATATTACTTATTTCATACAAGCATACAAAAAAGAGATAAAAACATGCAATTGAAAAATGCCTTTTCTTCTAGCAACTTTAAAAACATTTTTTCTTTTTTTGTAAATGAAACTGCAGATAATATTTATTTTGCCATCTGGTGATTAGCATTGTATAATATTTCCCAGAGCCAGCTAAAAATGGCTTTGGGAGTCTGGATCCTGTCCATAAGATGACAGGCACTACCCATCCTTTGAACTGTGTGCAAAGGTTATAGCTGGAGAAGGTGTCTGCTACTTAAAGTTTCAGCGCATGCATGCAAAATGCACACCAAAACAGAACTGCTTGATAAGTTACTGGTATAATCCCTCTACCATGTCTGCCTCCCTGATTTCTTATACAGCTTACCTTTTCTACTATGGTCTAGAAATACGGGAGCTTTCTAAAGTGCTCCTCAGATCATCTATGATTGCAGTTTAAGAGTTTTTCTTGAAGAACAACAAATAAGACAACTTGGATTTTTCTTCCTTTCTTTTTTGGCCAATCTAAGAGCTCCCAGACTGTTTTACCCTCCTCACAGATTCACACCACCTGATTATAGGAAAAGCTCTTTTATCTTGCATTGCCATACACAGTCCCACCTAATTTCCTGAGAGGAGACCCACTGCCTTTCCCTTCATGCTGAGTTGCTTCCAACTTTCTGCACTGCCTGGGTCCTACCCGGCTGCTCTTGCTTCTAGGACCTCTTTCTGAGGCAAGGCAGTAGCCTGGCAAGTTACTGGCACCTGTGAGCTTGATGTGGGGATGGGAGAGAAATGTGTTCACATTGCATCTTAAAGTGAATTTACTTGAATTCCCACTTTCAAATCGATACTCACAGATTCATGTGTATTTATGAAAAGAACATTTGAACACACATTCTATTAGAACATTTGGGGTAACATTTTTTTCCTTTCAAGGCAGAATTCAAGGTAGTTTACATAATTTTCCTCCTCCTCTCAATCTTATCCTCACAACAACCCTGTGAGGTAGGTTGGGCTGAGAGTCTGTGACCGGCCCACAGTCACCCAGTTGGCTCCATGGCTGAGTGGGGACTAGAATCCAAATAGCCTTAGTCTGAGCCCAGCACTTTTAAACTCTACACCTTACTTGCTCTCTCTAATTAGGCAAACATTTGTGCACAAATGCATATGTTCAAGTAAATGTAGGAAATGTATATGAATTTTTATGTATGCATTTGTGTGGAGGAAAACTTAAAGTTTGGGACAAACCACATTTATGATTGGAAATAATGAGGAACTGGAAGAAACAGACATTGACAGATTTGACCATCTCTGGCATGAAATGAATGTTTCTGAATTCTCAGTATATTTTGGAAATGATATTTGACTTTTTGCACATGTGGAGTTTATTTACATTGAATCACTTCTTTATGCAAGTGCTCACAAGGCACCTTTTGGTTTCTCAAAAGCTCCAGCTGCAAATGTAGGAAGTGTAAAAGCTCTGCCTTTGAAAACCAACTGTTGCCCACAATTGCAAGAAATTCCATGACAGTTTCGGTCCTGTATTGTAAACTTTAAAAAAGGAACAGCAGCAGAAGCGGGAATGCCTTTTTAAATTAGATGGGCACCCTGTGCCAGACATAATGACTCGCTGATTGGGAGGCCTGTAGGCGCTAACATAATATAAATAACAACTATGAACCTCTGCCAAACATATGGCTCCACTCAGTGTTAACATCAGGAGAACAGCCCTGGACAGTTTTTGTGTGTTCCGTTTGTACAAGCGGCATCAAAAGTCATTGCTCTTTAATTTTATTCCAACTTCAGCTAAGATATTCAGAGGACTTCAGAGGATATTCAAGGGTCCCATTGCCCCTTTTTCTATGGGACTTTAACAATAGAAACTTCCGGAAAAATATTTTACTCTGTGACTGAAGAATCCCAAGGGTAAACTGGCTCAAGCAGTCTAGAGCTCAGTCATGCAAATAAAAGTTGCTTTGTGTAGGAGATCCACACACTGACAGCTGAGTAAGGAGAATTTATGCAGCCAGAGAGCGCAGTCATTGTCCACTGTCCCCATGGCTTACTGCCGAGATTGTGTCATTCCTCCCTCTTTGTTTTTGAATGCACTTACCAGTTCCACAGCACTGAATGCGAGTACAGATTTTCCCAAGTTACACCAAGGATGCATCAGAGAAGGTAAAGGGCATCTTTACAATGGGCCAAAGGTGGGAGGAGTGGCTAACTTTACAAGTTTACTCACATAGCTCTCAAGAAATTAAGTTCCGTCCTGATGGTTTTTGTGCAATACAAGCATATGTGTGCCTATGCCCCAATATTACTTACTCATTCTAAAACGATGTAAACTTAGGATTATTTGCACTTTTTGCCCATGAACTGTGGAATACTTACCTAGTTTTTTAAAATGTTTATTTATTTATTTGATGTACTGATTTTAGGTTTTAGTGTAAAAATCTAAACCATCAAAATGCAGTCACAGGGCAAACACATCTCTGTTACCCCATCCTCTCTTTACAGAGCTGAGAGAAAAGATATAGTGTCATGGGATTTTGCAGAAGGGCCTAGCTTTTTATAAGGTTTAATACAGCTTTATGGTATTGCTTTAGCATTATTTCTGTGGCTTTCTGTAAGTGGAATAATAGCCATGCCTAGTTCTCCAGAGACATGGTCTTCATGGTTGCATAAGCAGCTGAGTATGATAAAGGCTGAGTGAGTATTCAAGTGGGGTTGGGGGAAGAAAGAGAAACTGCCCTCTTAAATTTCACAGCCTTTCGGACAGGAAAGAGATCTGTGATCTTCGTACAAAGTTGTACCACATTTTCTAACCATCTTTATCAGCTGCTTCTTTGATGACTTACTGATGGCTGGCCATGTTTAAACACATTGCTATGGAGGCCATATAAGTCCATATAGGGCTTAAACTGGATTTAACCCAATGGAATCTGAAGCGGTATTATGTTTTTCAGAGTATATTTTTGACAAGCGACAGATGTTAAAATATGAAGAATGAGAAAATGGATGAAACTATTATTTCAGTCCATTCTGTAATGTTTCTTTCTTAACATCTTTTTTTAACTCTACTTTCCACTCTTCCAGGATTGGTATACAATTACGCATGGATCCACTTTTTCCTTTACCTAGCACCAAACCACTAAAAGTTAGTGATTCCATGTTAAAGCCAGTGTACTGAGGCCATTATCAGCTGGTAAATAAATGAATTTTGTGTGCTACATCACAACAGAAAAATAGACCATGCTGTAATTAAGTTAACAGGATCCTCTAGGAGATTACTACAAAATGCATGTAAGTAACTCATCATTTACTAAGGTTCAAAAGTATGGCAGACCCCAAGCGGCAGCTTTCAGGTTTAAACAGCAGAAACAGAATCAAATAACTTTTCAGCCACTGGTTTATAAGTCTCTCTG